TACATAAATCCGTAGAGTACAGCTCAATGAATTGCCACAAGATAAAAAGGTGCACCAGTACCCTGATCAAGGAACAAAATGTATCAGCCCCCCACAGAGCTCCCCGTGGACCTCCCTTCCACTTGCTCTCTCAAAGGTAACCACCATTCTGACCACCATCATTATGGGTTAGCTCTGATTGTTTGGTACTTTATGCACATGGGATCCTACAATATTTTTCTTTCATATCTGGCTTCTTTTCCTCAGCATAATACATGTAATTATAGTCCATTCTCATTGTTATATGGTGGATGACATTTAATAAACCACAATTCATTTTCCCTTCTACCACTGACAGATACTTGCGCGATTTAGTTTGGGGTTATTATGAACAATGTCTTTCAGCAATTACACGTACACATTTCTGATCAGTATAATTATATTACTAGGTGTGGAATTGCCAGATTATAGAGAACATGTACGTTCAACGTTAGTAAATCTTACCCATTGTTTGCCACTCCCACTGTGGTATGTTTTCCGGGACCATGCCCTTACCGGCTCTTGGTATTTTCCATCTTTTTCGTGTTAGCCATTCTTGTGGGTGCATGAGCAGTATCATATTGTGGTTTAAATTTGCATTTCTCTGAGGACTAATAGAACCAGGCCTCTTTCATTCATCATTTGGGTTTCCTCCTTCATAAAGTGTTCAAGTTTCAGCCATTTCTCTATTATGTCATCTTTCTTTTTTTAATTTATAGTTTCTTTTATATTCTGAATTCTAGCCCTTTTACAGATACATGTTGTATTAGTTTCTTAGAGCCTCCGTAACAAATTACCCCAAACTGGGTGGCTTAAAACAATGGATGTTTGTTCTCTCATGGTTCTAGAGGCTGAATGTCTGAAATCGAGGTGTTGGCAGGGCCGTGCTCCCTCCGAAGGTTCTAGGGAAGAATTCTTCCTCCCCTCGTCCTAGCATGTGGTGGCTCCCGGCACTCTTTAGTGCTCCTGGCTTGGGGCTGCATCACACCAATCTCTGGCTCTGTCCTCACATGGCCTTCTCCCTCCCTGAGTGTCTCTGTGTCTCTTCACATGGCCTCCTTATAAGGACACCAGTCACTGGATTTAGAGCTGAAAGGGAAACAACTCTTCTGCTTTATGTCTACTCACTACAACAGTCCACTGTCAATGCTTCGCTTTGGATGCCAGATGTGGGTTTTCCTCACCCCAAGCAATTCTCAGACACCAGCTGGGCACCCTGCTATGTGACGTAGTCCTGAACCTATCTACCGGCAGATTGCTTCAGATGCCACAGGTTAAGGGCTCAGACCTACAAGACTACCCTCCCCCACTTCAGCTGCCAATTGCAAGTCCAGGTCATCACTTGCTTCTGACCTGCCGGCAGTCAATTGGAGGTTCCCATGACCCCCTCCTCAGGATTGATGATTTGCTAGAGCAGCTCACAGAGCTTAGGAAAACTAGATTTATTCACTAGATTACCAATTGATTCTAAAGGATACAACCTAGGAACAGCCTTTGGAAGAGATGCAGAAGGCAAGGTATGGAGAAGGGTGCTGAGCGTCCAAGCCCTCTGGATGGGGGTGGGCGCCCCACCCTCTTAGCACCTCCACATGTTCAACAACCCAAAAGCCCTCTGAACCCTGTCCTTTGGGGATTTGGGGGAGGCTTCATTATGTAGGCATAATTAATTAAGTCACTGGCCACTGGGGATTAATTCAACCTCCAGCTCCTCTCCCCTCTCCAGAGATTTGGGGTGAGGGGGGCTGAAGTTGCTTCCCCCCGGTAACTACCTCCCTCCTTGTGGTTTTATCTAAGGGCTTTTCAAAAAATCGCTGCATTAACATCAACACAGGTGTGGTTGGAAGGGGCTGGTTGTGTGTAATAAGATGCTCCTTTCATCTTTTTTTTTTTAGATTTTTTTTTTTTTTTTTGACAGAGAGAGACACAGCGAGAGAGGGAACACAAGCAGGGGGAGTGGGAGAGGGAGAAGCAGGCTTCCCGCCGAGCAGGGAGCCCGATGCGGGGCTCGATCCCAGGACCCTGGGACCATGACCCAAGCCAAAGGCAGACGCTTAATGACTGAGCCACCCAGGCGCCCTGCTCCTTTCATCTTTATTGCTCTGGAGCTATTTCAAGAACTGAGGACAAAAGACCAAATATTAGAAACAAAAGATGCTCCCATTGCTTTCCCAGCTTAGAAAATTACACAGGTTTGGAGGACCTGGGTGGTGCAGTCAGCTTAGCATCTGACTCTTGGTTTCAGCTTAGGTGGTGATCTCAGGGTTGTGGGATTGAACCCCTGCGTCGGTCTCTGCACTCAGCAAGGAGTCTGCTTAAGACTCTCTCTCCCTCTCCTTCTGCCCCTCACTCTCTCTCTCTCTCTAAAATAAATTTAAAGAAAGAAAGAAAGTTAGAAAGGTTTTAGGAGCTGTGTGCCAAGGGTTGTAGGCCAAATATATATTTCTTATTATAAACCACAATATCACAAGAGCCTATCCCAATCCAGTATGACCTCCGCTTAACTAATTACAGCTGCAAAGACCCTGTTTTCCAAATAAGATCACATTCCAAAGTTCTGGGTTGACATGAATTTTGGGGAGACACTCTTCAACCTAGTATAGACATATTGCAAAAATCTACCCAACCCCCCAACTTTTCACTCTCTTGTTGGTGCCTTTTAATGAATAAAAGTTCCAAATTCTAACTACAGTCCAACTGATCAACTATCAGCCCCTGTGGTTAGTGTTTATTGTGTCCCATTTACGAAACCCTTAGGTCCCCAGCACACTGTAGCTGTTGAAGCAGGAACTGGTGTGTGAAGGTGGTGTCATTAGGATGGTGTGGGGCAAATTGAAGGCATGGGTGGGGAGGCTTAACCTGAAAGAGAGAATGTTCTTATTATGTTCAAGGACAAACATAATAATGGTAGCAGGTGCTGTTGGGGCCCCACTCAGATCCCCTTATCACTTACTTCTGTGAATCAAAGGCTGCTAATTGAGGACACCTGCCCTGCTGAGGGCTGTTACCCTGATCACAGAGCATTCTCAGCCTGCTCCTAGGACAAGACGGAGATGTGGGATGCAGCCCTCAACCAATGAAATGAAGAGAGGTGGAGGGTTAATATCCCCACTTCCTCACCCCACAGTAGGGCCAACTCAGGTTTGTTCTGCACAGGTCCCCGAGCCCCTCAGAGCTACCAAGCTTCCGCTGCCCATGGCAGTAACCTGCTTGATCACCCACCCCCATGTTGGTGCCCTCCCTTCCCTACCTCCTGTCCGCTCTCCCCGACTGGGGTCTTCTGGAATTACCACCTTCACTAATTGCTTACGCTGGGGTCCTTGTCTCAGCACCTGTTTTAGGGGAACCCAACCTAAAACAATGGTCTTCAAATCTGCCCAAACCTCAATTTGCTCAATTTCCAAAATTAGGCATTTTTGAACAGAGTAGAAGCAATGGAAATATAGATTTCAGCCAAATTTTAAAAAGAACCTAAAAGAATTTTGTCAAAGTCAGAGCCATCTTGAGTTGAGACAAGGTCAACAGTGAGGTGAGTTCAGAACCATAGTCAGAATAGTCTGGATGACTGAGGTGTTGGGGGGGGCGGTGCTGTTTTAAAGGGTCCCAGTTAGCTCTGAAAAATCCTATGGTTCTAGATGGCTAGTGGATTTTTTTTTTTTGTCTTAAACTCAAATTTTTAAAGCCCGAGGGGGGCATTCTCAGGGGGTGGATACAGATCTGAAAGTCCCGCTCTACCCTTCCCTAAGACTCGGTGAAATTCACTGGCCCACTCTAGAATACGCTTTCTCCATTTTAGTCAGATCTGGCTAAAATGTAGATTCCTCGCTGTCTCTCCCAAAGAGCCTGACCCAGGAGGTACAAAGCAGGTACAGAGAATATTACCGTTTTTTGTTTTTTGTTTTTTCCAGGCTCCAGGCAATTGTGATGTTCTGTCAGGTTTGGGACCCTCTAAACCAGATGAGATAAGCTCTAAGTGCCCCCAAGCAGCTCTAGCACCAAGGGCCGAGTGATGCGTGGCACTGAGAAGATAGGACGGGCACATGCCAGAGCATTGTTCTTGAACATTCATTGTTATGATCAGGCTGCTCTATGCTCATGTCCTGAGACAGTCCATGCCTCACCAAGAGATAAGCAATGTTGGGGCACCTGGGTGGCTCAGTCGGTTGAGGGTCTGATTTTGGCTCAGGTCATGATCCCGGAGTCCCAGGATTGAGCCCCACCAGGATTGAGCCCCAGGACTGAGCCCCTACTCAGCAGGGAGTCTGCTTCTCCCTCTAACCCCTCCGCCCTCTGACCTCCCCCCTCTGACCCTCCCCCTCTCATGCTCTCTCTCTCTCAAATAAATAAGTAAAATCTTTAAAAAAGAGAGAGAGAGAAGCAATGTTTAAAAAGCAAAGAAAGCTGGGGCGCCTGGGTGGCTCAGTCGTTGGGTGTCTGCCTTCGGCTCAGGTCATGATCCCAGGGTCCTGGGGTCGAGCCCCGCATCGGGCTCCCTGCTCCACGGGAAGCCTGCTTCTCCCTCTCCCACTCCCCCTGCTTGTGTTCCCTTTCTCGCTGTGTCTCTCTCTGTCAAATTATTAACATCTAAAAAAATAAAAAGCAAAGAAAGCTTTGGTCGAGAGCTAGAAATCAACCAGGACATCAGTTGTGTTCTAAGGCATTTTAAGTCAGTTCTGGAGAACTACTATTTCATTTCCTCTGCTTTGGCTTCTTAAACAAAGCAGAGGACGAAAAACACCCCGACAGAAACTACCAATGGTGTGCTGGCCCCTCCCCTTCCCTCAGATGACATTTATTTTCTTTCCAATCTTCTTCCAAAGGTATCAGGTTGCTCTTCCACTCTAGGGTCACAAGAGCTGCTCTTGTTCTCAGCCACAAATTTCTCCAGAATTCTCTTCAGAGCCAACTTAGCCCTATAAAAAGGGGGTCGGGTGGAGTCAGGAGGAATTTGGGAGAAAGCTGTGAAGGGCCCAGCTTGCAGCGCCATGAAGAGCTTTCCTGTTGGCTTTCTTGTTCTCCTGATCTTCATCCTGAGTGTCCATCATGGAGTTGCCAGACGTATGGAGCTGTCCCACTCCCTTCCCTGGTGCAGGCTGGGAGTAGAAGCAAAGGGTCACCTCCCAGCTCCTTCCTCTCCCTGTTTTTTTTAGGTGGCAGTGATGTGGCCAAGTTCTGCTGCTTCCAATATAGCCACAAGATCCTTCCCTGGAAGTGGGTGCATTCCTATAAATTCACCAGGAACAGCTGCTCCCAGCAGGCTGTGATGTGAGTATTTCTTGTTTGGACTTTCAGGGTCGCCACCAGCCATGTAAGTGCCTGGGCGCTGGGCCACAGTGCCAAGACGAGGTTCAGGATGGGACTCTGGTAACTTGGGTTGTCACCCTGCCTCTGCCACTGAGTGGGACCCTGGAGCCTTGGTTTCCTAACTTTCATACCATGTGCCAAGCAATGTGCTAAGTGCTGGGTATAAAAGGGAGAACAGACAGTCCTTATAGACCTTACATCTTAGCATAAGAAAAGGCTGTTAAAGGTGTTTGCGTAAAATAGATAATGCAATGAAGAGAGAGAGCAGGAGGGAATTTGTTGTAGGGGAGGCAGAATTTTATCTCTGCCCTCTTAGGGGCTCTGGCTGAGCCTGAGAAGGAAATTGATGTAAGACAGATTAACAGCAAAAAAACAAAAAACAAAAAAACCCACAAATTTTTACATGTACACGGGAGCCCCCATAGGAAAATGAAGACCCAAAGAAGTGGCAAAACCCAAATACTTTTATGCTAGCTTGAACAGAAAGAGTTGATTGTGGAAATGTGACTAAAATCTATAGGATAGGCTATACGGGATAGTAAGACTTACCTTAACAAGGTCTCTTTGTAAAGATTTCTCTTGGCCTTGACTTCCTATCTCTGGTGATAGGAATATTTCTTTTCTCCTGGTACAGGAGGATATTTTTCAAATGGGAATTCTATCTCCTGCTTTCAGGGGGAAAAGAGGAGGTCAGAACACCCTTCTTGCACCTGCTGGGGTTTTTTTTTGTTTTTTTTTTTAAGTGTCTTTAGCTCAAAATAATCCTTCTGCCAAAGTGGCATATTTTTGGGGGGCATATTCTGCTTCCCTTCATCATAGTCACACGAGGACCTAAGTTGGTGCGAGGAAGGTCTCCCAGAGGAGTGACATGTGCACTGAGACCCCCAAGGATAAGTGGGAGTGGCCTTGTTCCAAAGTGGAGCAAGGATGTGCCGCAGAGAGCAGCAGGTGTGTGGGAAGAACATGTCGCTGACAAACAGGTAGACAGGAGCCAAGTCGTGCCAGGCTCTTCAGTAGTGGGAGAGAGAACACAGAGCCCCTGGCAGGACTAAATGAGATATCACATGCAAAGTCTTTGGCATTGTGCCTGCACAGAACACTTGTTTGGCAAATGGAAGCTATCTTTAAATGCAAATACACAGGGAAGGGCTGGTTGCTGCTCCCAAGGGCATGGGGTTCCTGAACATCAGAGAATGGTGCAGAAGCGGGGAGAATGGGCTCCAGTGGCAGACCTGAATGTCATTGTTTTGAGACAGTTAGGAATAGGAAAGGGACGCTCAAGTGCCTAATTGTGGCGGGGGCGGGGGGCGTGCACACTCCGGGGCTCAGAATCTTCTCCTTTGTGTCTTGATTTAAAGCTTTCTGGGGCTTTTAAGATGTCAACATGTAACATCTGGCAAAGAGTCCTGAGCTGGGCTCAAAGCAGTGGCTCCGTCACTTGCAAGCTATGTGACCTTGGGCAAGTCAAGCTTCCTCATTTGTAAAGGAAAGGCGAGAGGCCAACATCGGTTATCAATCACTATATGACGGACTGCCCCAAAACTTAGTGGCTTAATACAACAATGATCCCTTTCTGATCTCTGTGGGACAGGATTTGCAACGGGGTTTGGCCGGATGGTTCTGGCTTGGCATCTGTCCTGGGGGTAGAGTCAGATGGAGCTGGAGTTGTTGAAGCTGGTGGCATCTCCCTTCGGGGCCTTTCTGTGTGGTGTCTCTGTTGGGCCAGTTTGGGCTTCAGTGTGGTGTGGTTACCTGGAGTGGTGGGCCTCCTTACAAGCTGGTTCAAAGCTCCAGCCTAAGTGCCCCTGTGAACCAGGCAGAAGTTCCATAACCTTCTATGATTTAGCCTATGAGGTCACACAGCATCACCTCTGCCTTGATCTACTGGTCGACCAGTCCCTAAGGCTGGCCTTAATTTGAAGGGAGGGGACACAAATCCCCATCTTTTAATGGGAGTGATGTCAAAGAAATTTCAAAGGTTCACAAAGCCCTGCCTCTCCCCCATTTTCCCATCGTTTTGGCTCTTCTCTCCAGCATGGGGCCAGCCTGAGAGCCCCGTAAATACCACTCCAGGCTGGAGCATCCCCGACCTAGGCTCTCAGCACAGCTGAGGCTAGAGGACACTCAGGGGTATCAAGCAATGACCCCCACTCTTCATGAGTGCACAGTGTCGTAAGGAATGCAGGAATCCTATATATACAGCCAGGGCCAATAACCCATGATAATGTGAGTAAGAATTGAGCAGCACAACAGGCTTTGATCTCATGTTATTACTTGAAGACTTGATGTGCTATGATTCCATGAATTAAAAATAATAAAGACTTTTGGGGGGTCAAGCTGATGTTCTAAAATGGATGGTGGGCATAGCATGTGAATGATATCTCAATAAAGTGTCTATGTTAAAACAAAAGAATTAAGAGGCATGGTACAGGTTACATGCTTTGGACTAAAGCTGTTGGAAATGATTTCCTGGGGGAGGTGGGCCTGGGAGCATGGGCTCCAGTGGAAAACAGGGCAGAGGGGAAAGCAAGGACCAGAAGCAGAAGCAGAAACTGTAACAGGTGCAGCGAGGCAAGAGAAAGTGAGTCAAGGGGCTGCCCCCACCCAATTTCCATCTCTACAGGAGACAAAAGTTCTCAGTATTGACTGTCAGCTTCTCTTTTCCAGATTCACTACCAAAAAAGGCCATAAAGTCTGTGCACAGCCAAAGGAAAAATGGGTGCAAAGATACATCACTTTACTCAGAGAGCAGCAGCTATCCTAACTGCTCTTGACCCTGCTTGTCCTTGGTGAAACCTGGAGATTTTCTTCAGCAGAAGCCTCTGTGGGACTGAGGAGGAGGAGAGGCTTATAATAAAGATTGCTCCATTAAGATTTGATTTGCTCCTAAACATTCTTATTCAGTAAAACCTGAGTCTTCTTCAAAGCAAAGAAACGGAGTCAATATTTTTGGCTGGTTCCCTGCCCCAGCACTGGTATGGAATTCTTCCTATGTTTTTGTGCCAAAAAAAAAAAAAAAAAAAAAAAAAGCCAGGGAAAGTTCGATATATTTTGGCAAAATGCCCATCAAATGTTTTCACATTATTTAGAGACGTAAGTTTATGTTATTTGGAAAATTAAATTCTGTGCAACCCCTCATGGCCTGTTGGTGCTGGGTAAATAAAATGCCTCCATATCTGGCAGTGTTTTCTCATAACGTGTCAATCAATAAACATAAAAATCGAGGCACCCAGGTGGCTCAGTCAGCTGAGCGTCTGACTCTTGATTGTGGCTCAGGTCATGGTCTCAGGGTTGTGAGATCGAGCCCCCCTAAACCAGGGTCCACGCTCAGCAGGGAATCTGCTTGAGATTCTCTCTTTCCCTCTCCCTCTACCCCGCCCCCCCCACAAAAGATAGATAAATAAATAAATAAAATCTTTGGAAAATGTATTATCTATCCACCATCAAACTTAAACAACAGAGCTTAGGGAACAGCAATTGAGGTAATTCTGGAATAGTAGAGAAACCAAACTAGAGGGAACCATGGGCAGGTCGGGAGAACAAAGGAGAACGTCCTTCTACAGAGGAAAGGAGGAAGTTGGGAAGGGTTGTTTCGAACAAAAGTTCATTGGAGGAAAATGAGAGCTGGAAGTGTCTGTGGTTACCCGGCAGAGAGGACATCTCCCTTCTTTCTGCTGGTCTATGTGAGTGGTGGTGCATGAGCGCTCTCTCTTCATGGCTTCCCCACTCCATTTTTTTTTTTTAATTTAAGTAGGCTCCATGCCCAATGTGGGGCTTGAACTCACGACCCCAAGATTAAGAGTCGCATGCTTTACCTACTGAGCCAGCCCAGTGTCCCAGTCCCTGCTCCATTTTTTTAAGATTTTTATTTATTTATTGACAGAGAGAGAGAGTGATAGAGAGAGAGCATGAGAGGGAGGAGGGTCAGAGGGAGAAGCAGACTCCCTGCTGAGCGGGGAGCCCGATGCGGGACTCGATCCCGGGACTCCAGGGTCATGACCTGAGTCGAAGGCAGTCGCTTAACCAACCGAGCCACCCAGGCACCCACCCTGCTCCATTTCTGATGAATGAGGTTTCCTTTATTCATTTTCACATTCCCCCCTTTTGATCAAGATCTTTTCTTGAAATCATCACTGTTTAAGAGTCAGACTTTCTGTATTTAGTGGGTTTGTCCTTCAGGGTCAGGAAGGACCTTTCCCAATTGTCATGTTGCATGTCAAAGGGAAAGTGCATAGCAAATGGAAGCCATTTAAGACTAGGTTTGAGTAACAAGGAAGGGCAAGAGAAAGAACTCTCGGGTATTTCCCATCTCTATCTTATCAAGGTTTTAAATGCCTAAGGTCATCTTGAACCTTGAGCCAACATCACCCACTGGGTTCGTCATTTCTACAAAGGTTTGACGGGCAATGGTTACAAGGCTTAAAAATGATTGTACAAAACAAACAAGGAGCAGAATAATAAACCCAAGGGTGCCTGGGTGGCTCAGTCAATTAGGTATCTGCCTTTGGCTCTGGTTATGATCTTGGGGTCCTGGGATCAAGCCCTACGTCAGGCTCCCTGCTCAGCAGGGAGTCTGCTTCTCCCTCTCCCTCTGCCCCTCCCCTGTTTGTGCTCTCTCTCTCTCAAAAAAATACATAAAATCTTAAAAATAAATAAATAAATAAACCCAGTTTATATAATGGTCCTGAATCAGGAGGCCAAACCTGAAGGTTACCAGCTAAATAGATCAAAAGACCAGGGTTCAGTTAGGCCAGGTTTTCTCCTAGCCTGAAATTAAAAAAAACTGTTCTAAATTCCAGAGGTTGGGGCACCTGGATAGCTCAGTTGGTTAAGCACCTGACTCCTGATTTCAGCTCAGGTCATGATCTCAGGATCTGAGATCAAGCCCCCGTCTGCTGGGTGTGAAGCATAGAGCCTACTTAGGAGGATTCTCTCTTTCTCCCTCTCTCTCTCTCTCTCTCTCTCTCTCTCTCTCTCCCTGTGCCCTGCCTCTCCCGCCCCCATAAGCATATGCACAGGCTCTCTCTCCCTCTTGCCCAAATAAATAAATAAATAAATAAATAAATAAATAAATAAATAAATAAATCCAGAGTTGCAGCCCTTTAGCAATGGCCTGGGAGATAACGGATAATGGTGTTATCTTTCCAGGCCAATGCCAGAGTCCAGGAAAGAAAGGGAAGAAGAAAGGATTTCATGTTCAAGTATCTTGGGCCGAAGGGGCCTACACTGATATCAGCTACTTCTCTTCCCAGTCATTTGATGCAGAGGGTCTCCAGCGTTCATTTGTATAAGACCAGCCATCAGGTGAGTTTAGCTGGGAGATCTGTACCCAAGCTTCAGGTCCCTGCAGTGAGGAGGACCTCGCATAGTCTTTTTCAAGGAGGTTCAAGGGCAGTCTTTGTTCCTAGGGATGCCAACTCAGAAGGGGGGAATAAAATTGGAAATGTTATTTTGGAGAGTCATGGCCGGATATTTAAGGAAACTAGAAGAATTCAGGGTCCAGTCTAATTTACAGGCCTCTCACAAAACCTCAGAGACAATTAACAGGATTAGAATCTAATATTGACAAAGGTACAAAAATCCTCATGTTTTTTTCCCAGATAATCACAGTGAAATGGATTCATTTGATTCAGTTTGGCCTGGTTATTTACAAAAGTGTAGCAAGAATAGCAACTGACCATATAAACTCTTATAAGACTGCTTTGCTGAAACTTTTTAACTTTTAAAAGTTAAGTTAGTGCCACTTAATGTATGTTACCAAAAAAGTAAATATATCTACCCCAGACTAGATGTAGTATTTTTTGTATAATTGGATTTCCTAATACTGATATTTGTCATCCCTGCAGAAAGTGTATTGGTTTTTTAAAAAAGAAAGTATATTTGAAAATAAAGTCAGATGGAAAATTCATTTTTAAAATTCCCGTTTTGTCAGTTTCTCTGATAAAAAAGATGGCCCGTGTCACCTGTTTTTGGCCCCACATATCCCAGTACCCCCTCCCCAGAGCTGAGCTAAATAAATAGGAATTTGGTTTCATGCCTGAGGCACTTAGACACTTCAGAAGGTGGCATGACCTGTCTCACCTGGATTGCAGGGCCTGGCTCTAGTTCATGTGCTCTTTTTCCATTGAACTTATGCAATCCCTTAAAGCTGTCTGGTCATATCTGAATCTATGCACATCTCTCTTAAAAATGACAATCCAGTTAAAATCTTGGTAATATAACTAATATTTTAAATTGTGTTCTGTTTCAAGGAGAACAGATTTTCATTGATCTTATGCAAATAACTACTTATATTACCATGCGAAAATGAACTCAAGAGTTTCCAAATTCTGGGGGGATCAGGTAGGGAGAGAAAGACAAATGTTTCATTTTGGTTTACAAAGGCACATTTTACCAAATTGATATAAAACATAGCTAGCTTAAGAGGAAAGGTGTCGTCATATCTAGAAAGCAAAAGTTAAAGAACCAGCAGCATTTTAAACAAAAAGACATAGAAATTCTAATCATTCTTGTCAGTTCATTCAGCCCCATTTATTAGTTTTTGCTGTTTGAATCCAGGTTTTCCATTAGTTCTGGAAACTCTTACCCAATTTTGTGATCTCAATTCAATTTTATGATCAGTTTTATGATCTCAGTTATCAGAAATCTGTACTTTGTTGGAGCTCTTTCCATGAATCACATTTGTGGGTATACTTTTGCAAAAAGCCCCAGAGTAGGGTGCCTGGGTGGCTCAGATGGTTAAGCGTCTGCCTTCGGCTCAGGGTCCTGGGATCGAGTCCTGCATCAGGCTCCCTGCTCCTTGGGAGCCTGCTTCTCCCTCTCCCTCTCTCTCTCTCTCATGAATAAATAAATAAAATCTTAAAAAAAAAAAAAAAAAGCACCAGAGTAAAATAATAACTGGAAATGACCAAAGACTTAGAAATGTCCATTATTTTTTATAATGTTTTTAAGTTTTATTTGTTTAAGTAATCTCTACACCCAGCATGGGGCTCCAACTCACAACTCTGAGATCAAGAGTCAGATGCTCTTCTGATTATGCCAACCAGGTACCCCTAGAAATGTCCATTATTAAAGATCTGATGAGAGTTCATTACAATGGAATTGACAAGGAAACGTGGTTATTTCTATAACATACAACTTTTTAAGATAATAACCGGAATTAGGACTGGTGATATAATACCAAGACATACCAGATTTCCTGGAATTTCATATAATTTCTGGAATATTAATATTAATAACATTTACCTATACAATATAACCTAACAAGGTTTATCATTACCTATTTGACAATGCTTTCCATGTAATTTAACATATCAAATAAGCCTAATTAGTTTAACATCTCCATTTTTAGAAGGAGTAGAACAAATCCTTTGAGATGTTCCAGAGACCCTCTAGAACATCCCAAAGTTAACTCAAGGTCAAAAAGACTATATATATATATACACACACACACACACACACACACACATATATATATTAGATAATGCTGCCATAAACATAGGGATGCATATATCTTTTCCAATTAGTGTTTTTGTTTTCCTTGGGTAAGTACCCAGAAGTGCAATTACTGAATCATATGGTACCGCTATTTTTAGTTTTTGGAGGAAACTCCATACTGATTTTTATAGAGGCAGCAAGAATTCACATTCCACCAACAGTGCACAGGGTTTCCTTTGCTCCATATCCTTGCCAACATTTATTATTTCTTGTCTTTTTGATACTGGTCATTCTGATTGGTGTGAGATGATATCTATTGTGGTTTTGATTCGCATTTCCATGATGATTAGTGATGTTGAGCATCTTTTCACATGTTTATTGGCCATCTGTATGTCTTGTTTGGAAAAATGCCTATTCAGGTCCTCTGCCCATTTTTAAATCAGATTATTTGTTTTTTTGTGTGTTGAGTTGCAGAAGTTTGTGTGTGTGTGTTTTTTTTTAAGTAGGCTCCACATCCAAAGTGGGGCTCGAACTCATGACCCTGATATCAAGAGTTGTATGCTCCACTGACTGAGTCAGCCAGGTGCCCCAAGTTGTATAAATTCTTTATATATTTTGGATATTAACATCTTATAGGATATATCATTTGCAAATATCTTCTCCCACTCAGTAGATTGCCTTCTCATTTTGTTGATGGTTTCTTTTGTTAATGCAAAAGCTTTTAGTTTGATGTAGTCCTAACTGTTTATTTTTGCTTTTGCTGCCTTTCCTTTGATGTCAAATCCA